TTATAGCATAAATATGTTATAACATCACTACAAAAATAGCCATTCTGTTTCAACACTTTTGGTGTCTTATCAAGTGATGGTGTTGATTGCGATATTAGAATATTTATTTTTTAAAGTCAATTTTGCATTTGTTTAAATTCACTGCAGATTTGTCTTGTGCCAAGAATATTTTAATCTTAGCCATTAGATAAGGTCATAAAGAGTGAAGATAAAATATACTTGTAAGTAATCAATATTCATTTAATAACTCATAAATCAGGGGATTCAATTTTGTATTGATGTAATCAAAAAAGTTTGTTCAGTTTATTAAGTGAAAATAGAATACAAATTTTTTATTTTATTAAACAACATATTTATGTTCTACTATTTTCTGTCATTTTTCAGATAACTTCAAAATTCCATCCTCTCAGAATTTTTTTTATCTTTGCCAACAAAATATTACACTAGATGCCTTTTACAATATTTCAGGAAATTTAATTTTTTTTTTTAATTAAGGGGACTAGTAATGACTTGAACAAACACTAATCCAAACAGGCAGAATCTGATGAATATGGTAAATAAATGAAAACTTCCCATCTGAACCCACAATTTTTGTCTTTTTGGAAAAGAAACCTGCAGTTGAGTATTTATCCTATTGCGCACCATTTCTGTCAGGATGCATTTCATCACTTGCTACCTTTTTATTGATTTTGGTGAAAGCCATTATTTGAAACAATCAGTTGTTTCTCCAAAAAGAAGCCTAGAACATGCAATCTTTCCACTATATACTTGTGTATATATAATACTAAATGATGAGTGGTGGCTCATTTCACCCCGTGGTACATTGCATTCTATGTTGTTGTAAAGTATCCACTTTTCATCACTATCATGATGTGGTGTTTGCACCCCAGTGAAACTGTGGATGTGTTTTGGGGAGAACTGGAGAGTTTGCTGTACTAATCTGAGAACTTCCTGAATAATGGATAACATGTGCATTTGCGTTGGGACTGCCAACCCATGTCAGGCAGCCATTTCAAGCATCATCCAGTGAAATGACTTTGAGCCAACTGCTAACCAGAGCCCATGCCATCATGACTGAGGAGAAAGAGTCTGAGGAGCAAGCCACAGATGCTCAACAAATGGAAAACCATGATGGCCCACTTCCAACTACCATTTGTAACAGTATCACCTGTTACAGATGTTCTGGGCCCAACCATTTTGTCAAGTAATATCAGTATCAATACAAGTGGTACAAAAGCATGCACTGATGTTCAATGCTTTCAATTCCACAAAATCAGTCATATTGCTTCAATATCCAGGAAATGAGCTAGGGGACATGACATTAGGTGCCAGTCTTGTCTCATGAAATTATGAAAGAGGCACTGTTTGTGATTGTGGTACTTATTGATGGAAAGATGAGTATGACATTGGTGGATGCAACACTGTTGAAATCAAATCAGAACAAAGGCAGATAAGTTGATGAGGATGCTGTGTGACACTGAGGCTGTGAGGTGGTTAAACATTAATTCTTAGAGAATGGAAGTCATTTTCCCTGGTAATGAGGAAGTGAAGAGCCATCCTCCTCTCTATGAATTGGAACAATGTACCAATAGTTTACTTTTTTATCTATTGGAAATCTGGCATGTGCGTGAAGCAAATTGTGAAATGGCTTTATCTTTTTCTTGGGAAATTAGAAAAGCACATGTCATTGGTGAAAAAGAGAAGCAGATGGGAATTATATTTTCATAGACGAAAATAGAATGAACCCACTGTGAGGGTTAGGATTATGAAAATTGATCCATCATAACAGGCAGGTGATCTAGTTTATGTCTTTGTTAAGGAGGCGACTGGCCTAAGGATGGAAAACAATATGTCTCTTTGTTGAGAATTTACATAAACAAATATATTCTCATTGACAAAAACAAATTGAGAAATAATTTTTATCTATTGCTTAGAAGGTTAAAATGTGAAGGTGACCTGGTTTGTGTTTTTGCTGGACAAGTGGCTCCAGGAAAGGAGTCAGAATTGAAATTAATGAGGAGAAGAAAGCATGCCCTTTATCCTACACACTTTAAAAATTAGATTTGTCACCAAAACAGTCATGCCAGCCCTGAGAAGGAAGGAAGAATAGGCAAAATTTAGCCTTGCCCATGCAAAGTAGCAGTGCTAGATGTGAAGGGAAGCAGGTTGGAGCAATCTCTGTGACTGCTCCCAAGGAAGGTAGATAATTCTCCAAATTTGGAAAGTTGATTAAGAAAGCAGAAATAAGGAACAAAGAAAACCTTTATTGGAATCAATGAAAATTAGGGAATCCCTAGAACCCTTTGGCCCCACACCAGTTTTGGGCTGAAGTGTATATAAGCAGATAATTCGAGACTTTGGGCTAAGAACCAGCATCAAGTATGCCTGAAATCCAAATCAGCTGCCACCAGATTTTCTGATTTCAATACTTTGAACCCAGCTCCTTCAGAAGTTTAGACAAAGCCCAGTGTTAGTATGGAGATTGATGTGGAAGGATTAATTTTTGTTGTATCAAGAGCTATATAAACCAATTGAAAATTACCCCCACAAAACTCATTTTATTTTTTGTTGTGAAAATATTTTTTTCCTTAATATCTCACCTTGGCTTGAATAAGCACTGCAAGACTACATCCTTTGATTTTTTTTCACTGCTCTGAGATTGAGAACACAGCATGGGCATTGTTGTGGATTGAAGTAGCTGGTGACCACAGCATTTACCAGCTCGGTTAACCCTGTGGTTAAAATGTCATACTAAGACCCTGAGGATCAAACCACTAAAATATTATATCACCAGTAGTAGCGGCAAACGGTGCCATAGCTGCAGAGATGGCTAAAAATGATAAAAAAAGATCAAACCTGTGCAACATGTCTTTGCAACATCATTGATCCATCACTAGTGCACTAGAAGAAAGAAGAATTGGATGTAAGTGATGCGTGGAGTCAAGTTAGGGTGGATATTACTCATAACATTGATTGTGGTCTTAAGCGATTTACTATTTGGTGACAGCTGCATTGGCAGGATTCAGCCAATATAATGAACCATTTTAAAGCTGTATTCTTCAAGCAGTATCTCCCAGCTGAACTTCTCACCAACAATGACATTGTATTCTCCAGTAAACTAAAAACTTTTTAGATGAGTTGGGGACTCACCTATGATTTCACTGCATGTACATCCCCTTGGGCAATGGGCTAGTAGAAAGGCTCTATTGGAGTGGCAAGCAAAATTCAACCAGGAAGTGGTGTTTGATAATAGAGGTAGTTTATTGGTACAATTTCATGCTGAAAGATAACATCACCTTTAACTGTGCTAATCAATATGACACACTGCTATTAATCTGTGTGAGGGGCATTAACACAAATGACCCCGCCTGCATTGAGGTAAAGGACAAGCACTGTACAACTTGGTAGATTATAAAGTCCTTCCTAGCAGGTAGGTCCTTGAGGGTAGTTGTTAACAACCAGTCCTCCAAGGCCCAAACAATCAACACAGGCATCTTCCAAGAATCTATTGTGAAAATCTATGCTGATGATACAATGGTATATGGGTGAAACTCCTAATATCTAGATGATCAGAGAAAATTGCAGCTGATCTCTCCTCTGACCTAATTCTCACAACTCAGTGACAGGTGGGAAAAACTGGTTGGTCATATTCAATGCAACAAAGACCAAACTAATGATGCTCCATCATTATCAAGCAGAACCAGAACTTTCATGGATTGCAATGAATGGGTGTGTCTTTGGGGAGGTCTCCATACCTTGATCACCTATTGGTGTCAACCAGACCACAAATAGAACTTGTACACACTATCCATTGCTAAAGATACTGGAAAAATGGTCAGTTCTCTGTACTGCTTCAGTAAGTACATGACTCCTCCTATTATCCTTACCTTTACAAGAGACAGGTGTGGTCGAAAATGGACTACTGCTGCTACCACACATGATAGGAGCTGCCCAGTCTTTACTTTCCAGTTTCAAGTTCAAAAGCATCTCCCTCACAAATGAAATGTCGCAAGACACTCACTGCTCTATTGCTATGTCTATAGAAAGTGTTCAGGTGAACTACGTTCCTTAGTTATGCCAGTTCTAACCTTCACAGCTAAATCCTACCATGCTACGCACAATGTAGCGGACAACCACTATTCCCTTTGTATTCCACTTGGTGAGATATAATTCCACTCTGACAAGCCACTGCTTTGTGAAATCGACTCTCAAGAGGATGCTTCTCCAATCATTGCAATCTTAGTTCCCCAGTATTTTTGACATTGGACTTGCAAGACTGATTTATAAACATTTGGAATTATGACTGAATTTCTGCTTTTTGATATGAAACCTCCTCCTACTCCAAATCGCTATTTTCCCCACAAAATATCAAGCAAACCATAAAGCAATATTCAGCACAAAATCTTCATTTTCCTTACAGTTGTTCATTCTCAATACCTTCTTCAAAATCTCCACAAATTTTTACTTGTTCATCACATTTTACCTTTCTTAAAAAACACAAAAAAGAATTTACTGAAATTGTTGCTTAATTTTTTTAAAATTTTTTTTTTGAGTGAATTTAGTGAAATGTAAATGCTTCTAATGAAAAGAACAGAACAAATTTTTTGGTCAACTTATTGATATAACTTAATCAGTCATTTAGAGTCACTCCATATCTGTAGTCATGATAGGATAAAAGTGATTCTTAAACAATGTTCATCACTGATCCAAAAGTAGAGGACAATTTAAACATAATTTGGCATTTAGTCTCATCATTATCAAAAAGTAACAGAAATATACAAATCATTTTATTTTTAATCAATCTTTACTGAAGAAATAGTTATCTTGCAGTCATCTTAATTTGGCACAAGGCTACAATTGTTGAGCACTTTGTATCTTTCCAAACATAGAATAATGAATGTTTGTACATTTTTCATCTTGTATGAAATAGATATCAAGTGTTTAATCCTGATTTGCCACTTTGATTTTGTTTTTAAAATATGATTTTATTTTATTTTCAGGATTTCGTGGTAGGCGTCCTGCACGATCTGTCTTTGATGGCTTTCGAGATTTCCAGGCTGAGGCACGTGAGTAATTAAAACATTTTGTGTTGAAGAATAAAATGAGGTTAAGGAGGGTGGCTATTAATTTCGATTCGCTTTTTACAGGCCAACTGTAATTCAGTGTCTTATGGGTATGAAATTTAGTAAGTTGCTTGAAATTCCACACCTATTGAAAAGATTTTTTTTTAACTTGAAAATGCACAAGACAAGGGAGATAATTCCTTAATATTTATGTAATTTAAGTGATAAAACATTTTTATCAAAGTTGCAGTTCTAATTTTTATAAGAATTATAAATGTTTTTAATATTTTATAAAGATGTTTCATAAATGAGCAATAAAATTATAAAATGTTTTCACTTGATTTTTTTCTCTGGGTTTCTTTTAATTGTAAGTATTTTTCTTTGTATTTTTAGTTACATTAAGAAGCAAAACAAATCTATTTTTTAATTAATTCAAGAATATTTTTTTAATAGGGAGTATTTTAATGTTTATATTTTGACTAGCTTATTTTTTTATCATGACATTTTGTCTGCTTCATTGATTACAGATGACAACCTTTTGATTTTAGCTTGTAACTTGTTTCATTTTGGTACTTCCTGCTACAGAGTATTATTGCTTACATTTTCTTCAGGTGAAAATTTGATCTTCTCTACCATTTTGAGTGACTGCAGTTAGGTTTTGATTTCTTCTTAAATTTGTGTATCTGTTGATTATATTGGCATTATGTTCATAGAGTAATTATTTCCTTAGAGGGAGTGGGATCTTTATGCTGGCTATATCTTTTTGGAGCATGCCCAAGTTCTTCATGTTGGAAGCAATAGAAGATGCCTTTCTTTGCAGTGTATGAATGATTGGAAATTCAGATAATGTCCATTGAATATTGGTTTGTGATATATGCATGTCTTGAACCCAAACTGTGTATATCCAGGAATGGCAATTCATTATTTTATTTTACCTATATGGTGAACTGCATTGAAGCATGTAAAATTTATGGCTCAGTAGAACTTGTATAAGTGCACTTGGTGACGTCAGAATATGAAGCTGTGTTCAATAGATCTCAGGTGGTTGGCATCAATAGGGCCATTCTTTGGACTATTTCCATAAAGTACTCTTTGTATATTTTATTGAAGGAAACAATGATGACTCAATAGCCATATCTTCTTCCTGTCAATATGATTTGATTTTTTAACTTTTTAAGGATTTTTACAAAAAGAACCAAATTAATACACGCTTGTAACAGTACAAGTTAAGACCCAAGAGAATACTGGGAATAGATCAAGATGTATAGGCTAGTTTTTCACTGGATAGGATTGGAATGTGTAACAATTTCTGTTGCATTCAAGAATCTGAGACTAGCAGCAGCAGCAAAAAACCTACGAAACAAATGTTAGTAGAAAGAATGTATGAAGAAGAGCTGAGGAGAAAGTTGAAATTGTCTACCTGCCTTAAAATGAAATGCTCTTGCACAATTCTGTGGATGGCAATGTTACTTCAAGCATCATAATTTAAAATTTGACAGATTTGTGATTTCATCTGAAAGAGAAAATGGCAAATTTCCTAATCTGCTGATGTAGTTAGCATCAGCGGAACACTTGATCTAAATTGTGCATTCTTTTAATTTGAGAACAAAAGTGTGTGTGTGGGGGGGGGGTCCATTTCACAAAATGTTGGTTTTCCTGACAGAAAAGAGAATAAGTAGAGGCTGGAAGGCAATTAAAACTTTGTAATAAAACTAAGAATAAAAGTAATTTAGAAATTGACAATTTGAAATTTATTTTGCTTGTTTAGTCTGGTGGAATTTGTAATGGTTGTGAGGTATAAAAGAATTCAAATTTGTCATTTAATGTGATTTAGTCATTTCATAGTTTTTTTTTAGTATTTTTCTTTCTTGTTTACAAAAAAGAATAGCTTCTAACATTTTGTGATTAATTTTTTATAATCATTTCTAAAGTATATTAATGTTTTCAAATTGAGCATTTATTTTTCAAATGTTTATAGCATAGAATGATTGACATCTGGATGTGTCTGGCAAATTTAGTGACTAATAGATTTTAAATTCTTGAATATTGTATATGGAGATTTCTGTTCAAATAAATTGACTTTATGCAATTTGTAAATGTTTATTTTATGTTCAGACTGATTTAAAAGTCATCACTTATTTTTAACTTGGTATAATTTGTCTCTGATTTGTATTAAAAATTCTGTTGAAATGGCTCATTATTTCATCTTGTGGTATCAAAGAAATGGAAAAGAAAAAAACATACTAAAACCACCAAATTACAACATGCCCTTGAGAATGGTTAAATATATCATCTGCTATGTATTGACAGATCACAACAGCTATTAGGAAGATGTGATTAAACATACTTTAATGTTTAAAAAAGATTTATTCAGTATTATTATTGTTTAGGTAATAAGCATTATGACAGCACAAATAACTATATCTGCATTTTTTATGTATTTATGGTTATTTTTTAACTTTTAGTATCTGTTAGCATCCCATGGAAAAGGCCTGATATAAAAGGAATAATATCACATGATGCAATATTTTAAATACACTCTTTTGTTAGAGATAGTCTTTGTTTTTGATAATCTTCTGTCATGAAGGATGTTATGTTTTTTCTTCTAAGTTGTGGCTATCTTAATTTTGATGAAAATTATGAAAAAGATTTTAAAGCAAACTTAAGAACTACATAAAGATTTTTACAAAAATTTGGATACAAAAGTGATTCTGACTCTTCTGATTTTATTAATAAATTTAAAATTATACATTAATTACTAAATTTTTTTAAAATTAATAACTTTTGTGTTCTGTTGTTGACATTAATAGCTATCTACTGATGTGTTAAAATTTTGGAATAATGCAATAATAAAAATTTCATTTTCATCTATGATAGATTTTGTGATCTGTAAAAATAATCATGATGATGAAAAGAGAAAACCAAATTATTCTTGTAAATTTCAATCATGTTTTTGTCTTGATGATGGAATTTCTGAATTTTAAACCTTATGGCAACCTTAATGTATGCTTCAAATACATCAACAGACAAAAAGGAAAATTTATTACAAAAATTCACACTAGGAAAATTTAGAAAAATTTAACCTTTGTGCTCAAAAAAAAAAAGTTTGTCAAAAGCACTTTTTCCCTTGGCAATATTTGTTTTAAAAAGCAATGATTAGAATTTTAATAAAACTCAAACATATGAAAGTGAATTTATACATTTTTTTGTGCTTGAGAATTTACAACAAAAATATTAAACACATTTTATTTATTAATATTTATTTACAAGAATAATTTTTTATTTACATTATAAATACTAGACAAACCAACTAATACAATGTAATATTTATCATTTACCGATTTGTAAGGAGATAAATATGAAAACAATTTAGCAATTTTTTTTTAATTCATTAATTTAAAAAATGTTACTAAGTTATAAAAATGTATGAACCAAATATAGAATCTTTACCATTTTATAAAGTTTAAATCAATTGGCAATTTATTGATGTTTTGCCAACCATTCCAAAGAAAGCTTTGACAACTGCTTTAGTCAATGTGTTTAGTGTCCACTTTTCTTTTAAGATTTCTTCATCAGTCAGAACTTGGCTGACAATAAATAATCTATTTGTCAGATTTTTGGGGCATTTTTTAGAAAAATTAGCAATGATTTTAAAAAAAATTTTCCCAAAAAAGATTTTTTTGGAGGTGGGTGCAACCATTAATTAATTCAGATTGGATTTTTGTTGATTAGCCATCCTTGACCCTAATATATATATATATATATATATATATATATATATATATATATATATAGAAAATTAAAACAAATAGTAATCAGAGATATAAAATAATTTGAGAAGAAAATGTATAATGTCCAGAAAATATCATGTTTATTTGAATTTTCTTGTTCTATAATTTTTATAAAAAAAACAAACTTTTCATATTTATTTTTAAAATAGTAAATAATAAATCTTCATAAAATGATAAATAACAAATATCTCCTTGTACTTGGCTTACATATATTTATAATCTTGTAAATAAACATTGCCATGGGAGTTTCGGTAATATACAATAACAGCAGTGTCAACGGAAAAACTGACTGTGGGGGTGGGGGCACAAAGGTTAAATTTACCAAAAATTTAATGAGGAAAAATACTAATTTGAAAAAAAAAAATTTTTTTTTTTTTTTTTTTTGTTTTTTTTGGTGATTTAAAGAATTAGACAATCCATTTTCTTGAAAGATGTTTTTCTTTTTAATGTCTCATGAAAAACATGAAATCCATGTCTTTAGAAAATCTGTCATTATGTCCAACTCATGTTAGTAAAGAAAAAAATTTGAAGCAATTGAAAAATGATTGACTGAATCTTAAATCTCTACAAAATCATTCATGTGCACAAAAACTGAAAGATTGAATTTAAAATGTATCTTCTGTTCTCTTTTGATAGGAATGTGTTTCTTTGTGTTTTTTTTAATCTTTGATTTTTTTTCCCCCACCCCCCCAATTTTGTTGTAGGTCAACAGGAACAAATGATGATACAAGGGAGTGGCAGTGTCACTTCAAAGCATCAGACATTAGAGGAGCTTTTCCGGCCACCTATAGACCTCACTTTTAAGGGAACATTTGCCAGTGTAAGTCCACTGAAAGATAATGATTCTTGTTTTTCATACACAAAAATATTTTTAATCTTTGGGATGATATTTTCACTCATTCTCACTTGACAAAAAAAATGTCTGCTTTAGCAAAGGCACCTTTTAACATTGGGAGCAAAGTTTAATCTGTTGAAATCTGTAGATTTGTAAAAACAATTTTTAGGACCTAGAATTTAATGTTTTCTGTTGATGAAATTGATCCTTATATGAGGGTCATTCAAAAAGTTCTAAGCCTCACCCAGAAAGAAGATCCATAGCTGAACATTTTTGTTTGCGGCAACACACTATCACTTATAAAACTAATTCAGATTTCTGTCTTAATTTCTGTGCAGGTGAGGCCAATACAAAGGTGAGAGATGTACAACAAATCTAGAAATGGACAAAACAGAGGCCCAAGCAGTCATAAAGTATCTGTAAAAGAAAGGTATGGCACCCAAGGAAATCTCTGAGGACACTCCTTCCTATGCAACTGTGAAGAAGTGGGCTGTGGAATTCAAATGGGTCAGGAACAGCACAGATGATCCTTGGTCAGGTCTTCCAAAAACCTTAACCAGTGATCAACAAGTAGATGCCATTCATCATATGATTTTGGTTGATAGACGTCTTATTGTCCAGCAGATAGCTAAGTCTATCGGCATTAGTTCTGGTTCAGTCTATACTGTTTTAATGAGATCTTGAGCAAGCTGTCTGTAAGATGGGTCCCAAGAATGTTCACACCAGAGCAGAAGTTGAAAATGGTTGACATTTCCAGGACAGTTCTGACTTGCTTCCAGGCTAACCCTGAGAATTTCAAGATGAAACCTGGGTTCACCACTTCAAACCTGAACCAAAGTAAACAGTGGAAACACTGGTTCTCCACTCCCAGAAAAATTTCAAGTAGGCAGTGTCTGTTGGCAAGGTGATGAATTTTGTTTTTTGAGAGTCTGAAGGCATAATCATAATAGACTACTTGAAAAAGGGGAAAAAACTATCAATGGACAGTACTATGCATCTGAAGGAAGCAAGCAAGTCAAAATGCAGAAGAAAGCTGAGGGCAGGGGTTCTCTTGCTCTAGAATAACGTGCCTGTTCACACTGCTCAGGTTGCTGTAGCTGAGGCAGCCAACTGTGACTTTGAATTGCTACCTCATCCCCCTTACTCACTAGATTTAGCTTCATCTGACTTCTTCCTGTTTTCTAAATTCATATTCTACCTGCATAGTTGCCATTTTGGAAACAACAATGATGAGATCATGTGCTGTAGAGAAGTTTTTGGAGAACCAGGATGTTACCTTCTTCCATGATGGGATTGCAATGCTTAAGCATCGTTGGACCAAGTACATTGATTCCAGGGGGATATTGCAAAATAGTGAAAAGCTGTCTTGTTTCTCCAACTCCTGGGTGTAGCTTAAAACTTTTTGAATAACCTTCATATCAGTTAAATCTGAAATTATTTTTTATGCAAAGATTTTATTTAATTTTGCATGGAATATTGGTTAGCATGCTAATCTCACAGACAATTACTAAGTGAATTTGTTCCTTACTTACAATTGTAACTTTCTGTAAAACCAAATTTAATAACCATATTCTCATGTCAAAAGCCTACAGTCAAATCACACTTAAAACATTGGTTCCTGTTTAATCATCAGAGTTAAACAGCATTAATCCTGGTCAGTACTTAGATTGGGGGTACGACTTGGGAATACCATGTACTGTAAACAAACTCCTACAATCTTAAATGTTTTGGTGGTAAATAACCAACAACAGGTTGATAAGTCGCAAAAACCCCAAATCAACCAATCAAATCTTATGTCAAAGCCAAATCCCCAAATTTTAGCAAAACAATTTTAATTTCCTGTAAAGTAAAATTTGATGTTTTACATAGACACTTCCAGGCTTGCATATAAAGGCAAAGAAGCTGGATTTATTTCCAATCCCATTCAGAAATAACAGATCAAAGTTTGAGCTTAAGTATTATGTACTAAAGTCAAACAAAGAAATCAACAAAATATGGTTTTCTAAATAAAATAAAATTAAAAAAGTTGAGCTATCATTGTTGGAGTGATGAGTGTTTGTCTCTGACAAGGATTTTCAGGAGTTCTTTCAAAAAAAAAAAAGTTTTTTTTTTATTTTTAATGTACTTCATCTTTTATTTGACACAATTTATGTTTGTGAAATTAACTTTTTAGTTAATTAGATTTTAGTTCATTGTCATATGGTAAAAACTACATGAATTTTTTTTTTTTTTTCTCAGGCAATCTTGATGCTTGTAGCATTTCATATATAGAAACCAATTATATTCATCCCTTTATTATCATCATTAAAAGCGTGCACAACTTGAGCAAAATGATTGAGATCAAGTGTTCCGCTGATGCTAATTATATCAGCAGATTAGAAAATCTTTTTTTTTTTTTTTTTTCTCTTTCAGGCTCGCGATGAAGGCACAAATCTAAACAAATGGTTGATGGTTAATATCCAAAACGTTCAGGAGTTTTCTTGCCAAACTTTAAACCGTGATGTTTGGAGTAACAGTGCTGTCCGCAGCATCGTGCAAGAGCATTTCATTTTATGGCAGGTAGACAATTTCTGCTCTCTTTTCAGCTTCTCCTCACACATACTTTCTCGTAACGTTTTTTTTTTTTACTGCTGCTAGTCTCAAGTTCTTGAAAAAATTGTAACAATTGTCCAATTCTATCCACAAAAAAAACTAACCTACTGACATCTTGATCCAGCCCAAGTGTTCTCATGAGTCTCAAATTACTACAAGTTCATATTAATATGGCTCCTTTTGTAAAGTCCCAAATAATGTTTGTTCTGTTTCAAGCCAAAAGGGACTTTTTTTTACTCCACCCTTACTTTTCTAATGTTTATCTCTTTGTCTTCAGTAAATTTTGGGGTTCACTTTGATTTTTTAATTTATTCCAAATTTTTCTTGTGTTGACTTGCTCTTTCTATTTTTGGTGTTTCTTAATTAGACAAAGCAAGTGTTAACAAATTCAATGCTTTTTTTTTTCTCTTTTCTATCTTTAGAGCACCAAATATTGGATGTATCTGTTTTTGATGAGGAAGAATTGATAAACATTTAAAATATTCTTTTTCTGTTTTGTAGTCTATCTCTGATATATCTGCCATTGATTGTCAAATTTCTTACTATCAAATATTTTTTCCCTATTAAGGTGTACCATGATAGTGAGGAGGGCCGTAAATATATGCAGTTCTACAAGGTGAAAAGTTGGCCATATATTGCCATTCTAGATCCTCAAACAGGTATGAAAAACCCATTTTTCTTATCAACCGAGTTTGTAAGAAAATTTTTCAGGGCTAAAAATATTTTTGGAATTTTTAAGATTCTGTTTTGTAATTGAATTGATCCTTAGCTTAGAGATTCAATTTTGTTGGGTGCTCAATTTTCCTGACTTTATGTCACAGTTGGCATATCCTAATAAATTTATTTTCCTGATTTTGTGGGTCTTTTTTCTTTTTCTTTTAAATTTGCTATTTATTGCCTACATTGGTTTTTTTCTTTCCCAAAATGAACAAAATCAGGAAATAATAAAGATTCAAGAAACTTTCTCTGGTAACAAAATTCTTCTATTAAGTTTTGTTATTGACAAATTGTTTCTGGATTTGCTTCCAGGAGAAAAACTGACCGAATGGAACAATTTGGACCATACAAAGTTCTGTGAATATGGTAAGTGATGAAAAAAGTGGTTTAATGATCATTTTTGATATCAAAATTCTTTATATAATCTTTTTTTTTTTCTCTATACTTAAACAATGACAAACATCTCTTCTGCAAGATTCCGTTTCTTTTTTTCATTTCAGCAGCTGAATTTTTATCTTTGCATCCATCACTTGATGGGAGCTTAAGTCCCCCGCACAAATGCTTGAAACCAGTGAGTTATATTTCTTGTTTGGATGGTGTCCTATTATGTCAGTTATTCACTGTATGGCTAAATGATGCTAGAAACGATCTTAGCTGCATCTGGAATATTAACTAAAGATTCTTGTATCTGTGTAGAACAAAAAAAAAAAAAAAATTATTCAAAAATGAGAAATAAGCAGAATATTTCAAACTTTAAGAGTATTCTTCAGCATTGTGTTGATATTAAATTAAAAAAATAATTTGGAAATTGCATTGATGTTAAAAGCAAAAGTATGTATGAATTTTTTTTTATTTTTATACACAGAACATTGTAAATTTCATGAGTCAGATTTTTATTTTTCAATTATTTTATTTTGAAAACTATTATTAAAGGTACCTATTTGTTTTTCTCCTTTTGTCACAGGAACAAAGTCTTGTGGATGCCAGTGAAGATGCTCAGCTCCAGGCCGCAATAAAAGCTTCTCTAGAACAGGAAAAAAAAAATACTTCTGATTCTTGTGATTCTGGATCGGAATATGATGTAGATTTGGAAACATTCACAGGCTCTGAGGATGACAGTCTCCCCTCGCCTATTAAAAGGACTAAGCCTTCTGAAAAAAAGTCTCCCCACTTCTCCAATTTACTTCACAAAGTTAGCAAAATATCATCAGATTCTAAAACAAAGACCTTGTCCAGCATTATTGGTGGTGACATAAGGGGTAAAAGCAAAACGGTTAGTTTTTCTGAATCATCATCCTCCTCCTCATCATCATCACCAGTTGTTTTGGAATCGCCGTGTTCCAGTAAAAAATCAGCCTCCCCAGTGCCTACAAAAGAAGCTAGTCAACCGCAATGGCACAAGCATCTTGGCTCCAAAGATGGTAGTATTCATTTTTTTTGTCATTTTGGTTTGAATTCTCTAAACAGATTAAATGTATCTTACTGGTTTAATTTTACTGAATTATATCCGGCAATACAGACATATGTCATCATTCTGCTAAAAAAAAAAAAAAAAAAAAAGCCAACTAAAGTGTACCACACAGAATAAGTCAATATTTTAAAAAAAAAAAAAAAATATAAATTACAAAAGTGCAGTGAGTGGTGCTTGTGGTCATGATTGTTTGAAAGGATCTAAACTCATTATCAGTATCTTTTGAGGATGGTTACCATTTTGAACAGAGAAATCATAAACGCCAAAATAAAAAGATAAACCATCCAAATATTTTTTTTTTCTTTTTCAGATCCAGTAACAAATCTCATGATACGGTTTCCTTCTGGTAGTAAACAACAATTATCTCTTCCATGTTCTTCTAAATTATTGGTAAGTACAAGTTGCTGCCTTGTAAAATCTGTCCATTCTGATATTGAATATTTTGACAAAAGGCCACATTCTTCAGAGCTCCCAGTGAGTGGTCTAGTTTTCTTTTTTGAAAACTAGAAGACAGTTAAAAACTAGTTTTCATACTGCATTGGGAGAAGGACAGAGAAAAATAGTGTCAGATAAAGTATAAAGGTGACAATGTATGTTGTTCCTATTCAAAGTTTGGCAAGACAGCAGCAGAAGGCGTGTGAATACAATTGATGGAACTTCTGGAAATAATTTGACAATACAGTGGTATGGAGGTGAGGACATGCAAGCTCTTTCCGATACACACTTAATCAATATTAGAATTGGCTGACAATGTTGGTATCAACCACTGAAAGATATGTTAATAGTAAATCTCACTGGATGCTGCTATTTTGACTTAATCAGCTGAACTGAGCTGGGGGTGAATATAAACACTGGGGGTTAAAGAATTAGTGAACCGACATGTTTCATTATCAGTGTTGGAAAAAGGATTTGGAATTGTGGATGCCACACACAAATTTATTAAAAGAAAAACTGGCAATTGTATATCTCTCATTAACTGAATGAGTGAGACTAACATTCAAAATCAGCATGGATGACTGTTACATTTGTTGAAAAATCATTGGCCATGTATTTTTACCCACAGTTTTCCTTCCTGCTAAATTGATATTGTCTTGGACATCTCATGTATACTACCAAAGCTATTCCCTGAAGTTTTTTGATTTTTCAAATGTGTTTTCTCTTCATAGTCAATAAGAAGATCACTTACAAATCTGTAGTCAGAACAAATTCATAAAAGTGAATGAAAACAAACCACTACAGCAGTTTGACAATTCATTTTCATCAATATTGTACAATTGTTTTTCATAATTTCCTTCATAAATAATGGATTGTAGGTTGAATTCTGTCATGATCTTCTTGCCAAGAAAGCCAAATTCTTTCCTGTCATCATGATCTTGGAAATGCTTTAATCAGTCTGTTGTAAAAATTACCAAAATAAGGCTTGGTGTGAATTAGTCTTGCTCTTTTCAATTTCATACTTTATCTAGATGCTGTAAAATTTCTCTCCAATTAAAATGTTAGAAGATGAATGACAACATATCACTATCGTAAGAATTTGTTTATGCCCAAAACTTTACGTACCATTATCTACGCTTCTATTATTAAAAAGGATAGTGTTAAAAGTACCTTTGAAAAGCTTAAACAGCTGTTAATGCAAGGAGGATTTTGTTTAAGCTGTAAAAGAAATATTCTTATTTTGTAAGGTGTGCAAACAGCATAAAAGTTTCTGCCTCTTGCATATTTATTAATGAGGTGGTAATGAAGTTTTAATCACATAATATTGTGCAGCGCAAAGAGTCATTTCACATCAGGCTGTTCAATATAGGATCTAATGAAAGTTAAAGAAATCCAGCTTTAAAAAAAAAAAAAAAAAAAACAACAAAAACAACCTCCAGCACCTCTGTGGGACTAAAGTGTAATGGCAGAAAATTTTAAGTATTGCATCTACCCTTAAAGCTTAAAAACAAAGTTAGTACAAAAAGAATCCAGCAAGATTCAAAAGTGAATTTGAATCATAAAGGAAAGAAAAATAGTAAATGGCATGAAGTCATATTTGCTGGCTTTAATGGATGAAAGTCTCATTGGATAAAGTAACTATGATAGTAACTACCTGCTGACTGATCGATCTTATTGAAATATTATTCATTAGACAGCAAACATTTTGTCTATTGTGCTCAAGACAAACCTGACAAGTTATTAAATTGATCTTTGTGGTAGAAACTTTCACTCAATATGGCTGGCTCCATGATTAAGCTACTGCTAGTAAAGAAGTGTGATGGAGATAAATCTTCTAAGAATGAAAGGATTCAAGCTAAACTAACACAATCAAAATGAGATAATGGTATGAATATCATCTTTTACAATTATCATGAGCATAGTCAGTCCATAAATTTACTTTTGGAAGCTTTTATCAGCAAAATTGGTTGGAAATAGAGGCCCAACTTTGATTAGTTGGCCAATCATGGCTGGCTTAGATATGTGCCCTGTACAGGAAAGTTGGCACATTTAGCATTGGCAAAAATAGATTATACCAGTGTACATTTACAAAGTATAGAGAGGATAAAAAAAAAAAAAATTTTTTTTTTTTTTTTTTTTGCACACAAACTTAACTAAGCAAAACTTCTCATCTTGTCAGACATCTGTTTTTTTTTTTTCATTAAATTTTATCTCTTTTCTTGCAGGCTCTTGAGGAATATGTTCAAGAAGAAGGTTATTCTAGTGAAAAATATGAACTTCTAACCAATTACCCTCGCAGAAAACTTTCAGAGTTAGATATGAATTTGACATTAAAAGATGCTGGCCTCTTCCCACAAGATACAGTTTTTGTCCAAGAGAGGTGATGTTGGGTTACTCGACCATTGTCACGTGAAAGTGAGGAAGGAGCAGCAATTGTTCATCACTGCCAAAACTATTGTCTCAGGGCTTTGGCCATTATGGCAGAGCTCAGGACTTGACCTAAAGACTGCCACAATGTCTAGAATTATATAGCACTCTTGACTATCATTCTTACGTTTCTTTTTAATGTTCATATCATGCAAAGTGATTCCAGACATCAACTAATTGTTCAGCTGCTAAAAGACAGCATTAACAGCCTTTTGTCTTTTCAACATTTAATATTCTCTAAATGGCAGCAAAATATGCCCCCTCCCCCAGCTATCATCATGCAATAAATTTTCATTTGTAACATTTGTATTGATAAAATTAAACAAGAATCAGTTTCATGGGTGAGTGTTACATTAAAAACCTAGCGTTTTGTAGAATAACAAATGAATAGCTGACAATTCAAAAACAATAACATAACAATTTATTTACAAAGAAACTAACTTTTTTCTCACATGAAATACTGGTTATCAACATCTGTAATTTCACTGAGAACACATTTAGGCAACAGAGTTTCAGCTGGAACTTCAGTTTCTTCAGAAATGACTTGGTACCGACTGTCATTGGGGATCATATCATCCAGTAAATGACACAACAGGTTGTCGTTTTCATAGGTTGGGAAATAATACCTGCATAGATAAATTGAATGGATCAGCAGAATCTGATTACAAGTAAATTTCTTTTTTTCTTTTCTTTTTCGTGTTAAATATCAAATGTCACACTTACTGTGGTTGGTTCCAAACTTTGCTATCTGGAATTTGTGAGAAATGATTGTTGGTCTCCATATGAGACATCAACAATTCCCAACTGTCAAATTGGAGATCACAATTGAAACATTTCAGTTGGTGAACCTTGGAGAGAGAAAGAAAAGTGGGGGGGATATGAAGTCTTTACATCATTTCAATAAATCAATCTATATACGAGAGGAGGAGTGGGGGAATGGATATAACTTACCTTTCGTCGAATGAAATTTATTAATTTTACTTGTTGATAAAAATCCAGGTTTTGACTTTTCTTTATTGCTGCAAGATCTAAACCATGGGAATCCTGTCAAAATATAAATCTGAATTGAAATTCATTGGTAATCAAATTTCATGATTTTGATTTGAATTCTGAAAATTCTTTCCCATCCCCACTTGTAATAAAAGAATTTTTTTCTTTTTAGTTTAGGATAAAAGTGTTTAGCTGGGCATGCGTACCTTCATGTGCGTTTGGAGATTGTCGGTGATAGTGGAAGAAAAAGTGCAAAATAGACAAATTGCTTGGGAACCACTTTCATCATGCCAATCGTCCCAGGTCCTTTGAAAATAAAAAGTATCTAAAATTAACATTTTTTTTTTCCTCAAACATTTAAGTAAAAATTAATTTTCCAAAAATGTTTGGAATGGAAAAATAGAAAAACTAAAATTTCTTAAAGAATTTTATTGATTTTTGCTGTTTAAACTCTGGTCTATAAATAATGCTAATAGGTGCTTGCTGTAGATGAAAGTTTAGATCTCTCCAAGTGCTCTATTACTGAGGCCTTGTGCTAGACAAAGGCTCAGTTTAGCAAGATTAAAATATTCATGCATTGAACATGGCTGCCACTTCTGATATGTATTTAGAAGGATCTGCAATGTTATTGGTCTTGACCTGGCATCTCATTTTCAGTCATAATGTAGCTTCCTTGTGCCTTTTCTATAAATACTTTCATGGTAATTCTTCTGATGATCTTTCCTCTTTGGTATGTAGAATTTATGAATTTAAGTGCAGTAGTGGTAAATTTTCATCATTTTACAGCTGAACTGTCAACTTTGATCTTCAAAAATTTAAATACAATAATCAATTGTTATCTTCTGTTCTCTCTCAATAGTATTTTTTTTATTCTTGCTAGTAACCTCTTGCATCTTGGGGAGTGATTAAAACCAATTTATCCTTAACATGTGAACTCTTGTCAAAGTCTGAATTTATAACACATTATCTCAAAAATGGGACAATTTTTTCAGATGCTCTTTATATTATCTACATTAAGAATTTTCCTCAATGCTAAAAAAAAAAAAAATAGACGCTTACTCTTCATCCATGTCGTGTTCAAGATTTGCTTCCTCAGCCGATTGAAAACTTTCCCAGTTTTTACCAATTTCCTGTAAAAAGAAAAAATGAATTCATTCGTCATTCAAACTGCAGACAAAAACAGATTTTTTTTTTTGTTTTCAGTGTCTAAAGCAGCAGGTACTTTCAAAGTTTCACCTGTTTGATTTCTAAGTGTTGATCAGTTTTTCAATAGATTAAAGCTTTGTAAATCTAATGTTCAATTCAAAAGAGATTATCAAGTAAAATTGGGAGACTAGAATAACAGTCTCCTAATCTTTTGGAGAAAAAGGAAACTGACAATTTACCAAATTTTTTTTGGGGGGGGGGACTGTTCAATATGAAACAAAAAACATTCCTTACCAAATAATTAATGACGTAATATTTATCATAAGTTTTGTTGTTTGATTTGATTCTTTTATGCTGCTTTTTGCGCATATGTTCTTTCAGCGTTGGACGATCACGGAAGCTTTTCTCACAATATAAACATTGCAAGCTGACAACAGAAAAGAAAAATTGTTTACAAGCAAAGTATATATAGTGTCATCTTGACTCATTTGCAAAATTAATGCCAAATAATTTCATAGAATTGATCTTTCTAATATTTTAGGAAAGTGTTAGGGCTGAAAACAGGGCTAAACATGAGAAAAAAAAATTCCCCTGACCATTTTTTTTTTTTTTTTTTTTTTCTTCATGGCACCATTTTTCCATTTTCCTTGTAAAATAGTTACTACATCTGTCCCATAATAGTTACATTTACTATATGAAATGCATAGGCAAATATAACAACTGTTATGGGACAAAGATAGTTTTTGCCCCCCAGTGCATACACATTTTAAAAATGTCTTCCAATTTTCAGCATTCTGTAAAATGTTTCAATCAAGGAAAATGCAACACCAAATACTTACTTGGTTAATTTTTCTTGTAATTTATCTAAGAATTCTGTTGTAAATACTGAAATAGAAGTAAAAGAAGAAGAATTAGAAATCTAATTTCATTATATTTTATAATCAATAAGAGATTTTCTTAAGAAAAATCTCAAACATGATTGTTGGGAGAATAAAAAGATTTTTATATAAGTATGTACGAGATGGGCTCATGTTTTGTTTTTTTCTTTGTTGGGGAACAAGAAAAATAGTACAATGTTCTGGCAACTCCCTTCTACTTTGCCTTTTTTTCATGTGTATTTTCTGTATGGAAAAAGGTGGATTTTTTTTTTCCTCTGTACAAAGAAAATTGCAAATTTTCTATTAATGGAAAGACCCCCACCCCCCAAATAATAATTCTTGGAATCATAATGACTCTTCTGAAGATTATAAACAGCTACATGAGAAATTGAAGAAATCAAAGATAATCATTGTTTTTAATGTAGGCACATCACTAACTCACCAAGATTGTCTGGCTGGCCAACATTGAATCCATGATCAAAGGCCATGTGATCAAACAATTCTGATCTGAAAGCAAGCAGCAGAAGAAACAACTTTTCAATAAAAAAAATCTTTAGGAAAATTGAAGCAGAGAGAGAGAGAGAGAGAGAGAGAACCAACTAAAGAGCTACATCAATCGTATGTAAGAGAAACAGTTGAAAGTATTTGTGCAACCTCCTCATCAAAGAAGATTCTGACAAAACATTTTGTGCAATTGTAGAGTAGAATATAAAAAAAATAAATCTAGTCAGACTTCAGGAACATAAGTCAGTCATAGCTAAAGGAGACAAGTCTGGTACATTCATACTATATGCTCTCTGGGATAATGTTGATTATTGTGGGAAAATAAGGAAATTGAAGGAGGAAAAACAATTAATCAAATAAGGTGCATGACTTATCTGGTTTGCCAACTCGTGCATTCAATGTCAAAATGTTCAAGGCTAACGTTAATTTCAGATTAGAATTAGCATTCATTTGTTATTAAAAAGTATAAATACGAGTCTGTTAATAGGTTCAATAAATCTGTTCCTGCTTAATTTTTCAAGGTGAAACTCGGGTTTCAAATCAGATAAATCACTGAAGTTTTCTTGATTAATTCTATATTATAGCACTAATTATCTGTTTAGCACTTTTGGGCAGAAGTTCTGCTAGCCTGGAAAATATGTTAAATTCTTGCAATTTCATTGTATGTTTATTTTATATAAAGAAAAATAGTTTTAAGGTGTGCTATATTTATGGAATAAAGTGCTCAATATCAGAGCGTACGTAAATATAAAAGTGAACATTGAAGTCAACACTCAGGTGACAGGCAGCAAAGGTTGGATTTTTCCTTGACTATATATATAGGCCAGTGGCGCATTGTGGGTAATCTATTCTGACAGTTATTTATTTTATACTAACCTAAACAAAGTAGATTTTCTAGATGTTACCTTCAAGCTAAGGAAAGGCACATATAAACCTTACAGAAAACCCAATGATAAACCACTGTACATACACACATCCTCCAATCACCCACCTTCAATAATCAAACATACCAATCGATTAACCACAGGCTTTCTGACAATTCTTGCAATAAAACCATATTTAACGAAGCTAAGAAAGGCTACGAAACAGCCCTAAAAGATAGTGGATTCCTGCCAACACAGAGCACAAAAGAGGCCAGCAGGAAGAGAAATATATGGTTCAACCCACCATAAAACAAAAACAAATGTAGGTAAAATATTCTTCAAACTCAAACAATTCCTGGAATCAAGCACTCTACACAAAATATTCAATAAAAACACTGTAAAAATCAGCTACAGTAGCACTGAGGACATAGCACAAATAATAAAAAAGCACCAGGAAAACTATCAACAAACCACCTGAACAAATTAAACCCACGTATAGCTGTAGAATAAAGAGTGAATGTCCCTTAAATGGTAATTGCTTACAAAACAACATAATATACCAAGCCACAGTAAAATCACCAGATAATGAAAAAGTATATATAGGACTAACTGAAGGAACCTGGAAACAAAGAAACTATGCACACAAAACATCTTTCACCAAAAGTAAATATGCGAACAGCAAAATGCTTTCCAAATATATCTGGGAAATTAAAAACAAAACACACCAAAAACATCATGGAAAATAAGGAAAAGATCATCAGCCTACAACAATCAATCCCAAAACTGCTAAATCTGCTTGGAGGAAAAAAAAGCTATTACCTTCCCAGACCAAAATAAATTACTAAAACAATCTGAGCTCATCACAAAATGCAGACATGAAAACAAATTTTTATTACGTAAAAAAATTTAAAACTGAAATGAATAAACAAAATAATATAGAAAACAAGAAAAAATTAACCCAAACAAATTAACAAACCACTCCCATTAGAATAGATGAAATAGAATAAATAAAAAACAAATAAATATAATCAAGCCAAGTAAATAAACAAATTAACAAACCAATCCCACCAAAATAACTGTTATAGACTACAATAACCAATCCAAAAATTAGACATAAAAATAGCTATAACTGCTATATAATGATAAAAGAAAAAAAACATTACTACATTACTCAAAAAGCAAATGAGTAAATAAAAATATACAAAATAAGTAAATAAATAAAAAACAAAAATTAATCCAAATAAATATATTAACAAATCGCCCCTGCTAAAATAGCTGTTAGAACTAGTAAAAATAGGCATAAACAAGTAAAAATAATCAATCAAAATAAATAAATTAAAGTGTCCCCCCTGCCAAAATAACAGAATAGACTAAGCGACCTAAGCATATCACCCCCCCAATTTTTTTATTACATTAATAAAACCTCAAAAACTGAAAAGAATAAATACAAAATGAAAATGTAAAACAAGTAAAATAAATTAGCCCAAACAAATAAAGAAACAAACAAGCCACTCCCGCAAAAATAACCGCCAGAATAAATTACCCACAATGCACCACTGACCCATACATATATATATATATATATATATAAAAATAGTCAAGGAAAAATCCAACATTCGCGGCCTGATGATTATGTCTAGCATGAAAGTCTTTCACCTCTGAGTGTTGACTTCAATGTTCATTATATATATATATATATATATATATATAGGTGCACAATAAAATAACAGCTATGGATATATCCTTTGGTAATTGTAATTGGGTAATCATGTCTTTTTAATAGGCTGCTGTTACTTTCTGCAGTAGACTGGTTATCAACCAAGGTTATAAGACCCAATCTGTCCTACTATTTAATCCATAGCTGTGAGGAAAAGAGATGGATTCATATCTTTCCAAAGGGCAATTGAGTTAATGTAACAAACCCGACTGGAATTTGAATTTAGCATACAGCACCTGGTATTCCCAATTGATCTAGGTACTAACCAGGCTCAATATTGCTTAACTTTAATGATCTTAGTTAAGTTAAACAACTGCGTCCTATGGCCTTGGTTGGCAACCAGTCTACTGCAGAAAGTAATGGCAGCTTACTGTGGGAATTCTGCCAAGTCAATCATGAATTGAAAAAGATATCATCCAAACAATCTTAACTTGTTTCAATGCAATACAGCTGTGAGCAGATTGTTATTTATTAAATCATATAATGTAATGCATATCAAAGCAAACAATATTTTAGGAAAAGGTGCTCAACAGCTATCTTGGGCAATTGAATTAAAACTGGGTTTTCAATTGTAGAGGATTCACAGGCTTGGAGGTAAACTTTAAATTTGAAAATTTAGCATATATAATAAGCATTAATAAATTAAATATACATCCTGTAATGATCAATACAGTCATTCTTGAACGTGAAGCTAGAAAGAAAATTTTACTGACTCAGTTGTGACTCAATGAGTTTGTGAAGAATATGGCTATGTGTGCTTATCACAAGCTGGGCAGAGAAGTTATATTAAGGGGTCAAGTGCAGAGGGCATCAGATTGAATATAAATGTTACCATCAAAAGGAGGACATGATTTGGGCTTTGTGTTTTTTAGCAATGTACTAAGAAAAGAAAAAAAAAAAAAAAAAAAAAAAAAAAAACGGTACACAATAGGAAAACTGGGACAAACAAAAATCAGCAATGGAATAAAACTTTAAAAGCCTCTCTGGTTTTAAAAGTCAAAGTACAGCCTATAAGGAGGAAGCTGCAGCAGATGTGTAGTTATGGTGCAGAGATGTTTATGCTTGTAACAGAGTGGATAATTGTCGTGATCTTTATATATATATATATATATATATATATATATATATATATATATATATATATATATATTAGAGATGTGTGGTTTAACCGAAAAACTGACTTTTTTTCAGTTTCATCTTCACACCGTGAAATCACATCAAAACTTTTTACGAAACCAAATGTTTTTATATCACTACTGAGTGACGATATCCAAAGAAACACTATTGAAAAAAGACTTTCAGATGTTAATAAAATTTTAATCAACATTTATATCATTGTAAGAGAAAAAGATTGAACAAAAATGTTAAAAACATTTAATTGATTAGTTTTAGGAATTAAATGTGAAATCTATTTGTTTACAAAACAAATGAAGAAAAAAAAAGGAAATATGATGTCAAATCTATTTGTTTCAGTTTAGAAAAAAAAAACAAAAAAAAAATTTAAGTTAACAAAATAGCAAGTAAAAAAAAAAAATAGTTGCCAGTTTCATCTTAATATTAAATCTTATGAAGTCAGATTTTTTGTAAGGGTAATCAATTGTTTTCTAGTAAGCCAGTACATCAATCAAGAAATAAAGTTATAAACAAGAAAAATGAATGAAGATCAATAGGGATTCTTTTGTGTCAGAAGCCTGCCTAGTATTTTGTTATTAGTTTATTGGTTTCCAGATACAATATTAATCTGCTATTAATCATCTTTTTATATAACTAGTGAGAGCTATTGGCTGGTAATTTGTTGGGTCTGTATTGTCTTTGCCAGGTTTACGTATTGGTAGAACTGTGGCTTGTTTCCAGGATTTGCCAACTCATATATGGTTGAGAGTTTGGAGAAGGTAAGCTAATGATACTCGAGGTAATTGTTTTAGTAATTGATAATGTATTTCATCAAGACCAATGGTGATGTCATGGGCTTTGTTTAGCATTTCTTGTAGTTCTAGTTCTGTGAATGGTTGGTTTTAAATTTCATTATTTTTTGATTTAAAGTTAATTTTTTTTTCTTTTCTTGGCTCCATTTGATGGTTTGGATTGCTTTGCAGTGGTTTTTTGATGAAGAGTTTTCTGAAAAGTTTTCAGCTAGAAGGTCTGCCAGGTCTTTTTTGTTGGTGATCTTTGTCTTATTGCAAGAAAGGTGCTTGATAGGGTTTGGGACAGTTCTTCCTGCCATACTTTTTTGAGTTTGGTTCTTGGGTTCATTTTGGATACAGAATCTTTTCCATTTGGATTCTTTGAGAGTTTTACAGGCTATGGCTGTAGTTTTTTTTTTTTTGTATTCAACTAGGTTTACACTGGTAGGGTTTTTTTTTTTTAAATTTCATAAGTTGGCTCGCTTTGTACAAATTACTTTATTTCAATTGTCATTGAACCATGTCCTACTGAGTTTTGAGGTGCAGGAGCTTTTTTTTTTTCTTTTCATTGGCTATTGAGAGTAGGATATTGGTAAAATGGGTTGTTAGTTCTTCCTTATTTATGTTCGTTTCTGGTATCAGTTTCAGTTTGAAGACATTTGGGAATTCTGTCCAGTTAGCTTTTTGAAGATTCCAGAGGCATGTTTCATGATTTAGCTTAGGGATTGGGTTTTTCTAGTATAATTGGGAAGCGATCACTTCCACAAATGTCATGAATTGACCATGTATATATTAGCTTCGTACATTGTCTATGGCAGAGTATGTTCCTGTTGCTTGATGTAGATATCTATTTGTTTTGTTATTTAGTAGGCATTAGCTGTCTTTGATTTAATGTTTCTATGAATTTGTCTTTCTTATTTGTTTCTTTACTCTCTCATATTATGACTGTTAGAGTCGCCCATTAATATGAAGCGTTTTGGTAGTTGCTGTATTAATTGATGTAATTCTGTTTCATTAGGGATTCATCGAGAGGTATGTATAGAGAGTAGAAGAATAACGTTTTGTGTTATTGCTTCTGCCTGTAAGTTTGTATTGAGTATTATTTCACTATAAGGTATGGTAATGTTAATGAGTATTGATGAGTGGGTAGGCTAAGAAACGTTTTATGTTGAGGATCTTTTTCTTTCAGGTGAGTTTCCTGTAAGCATATAACTACTGGGTTGAAGGTCAAGGTGAGAAGAATTAATTTGTTATTAGTAATTTGTTATTAGTAATTTGTAATTAGTTTTAACACCGTTTATGTTCCATTGTATTATTTTGTTTGTCGTGGTTTTTATATTTTGCTTAGTTGCATATAGGTATGTTTATGTTGTGTTAATTGAATAATTTTATGGATCTGATTTTTTGGGTTTATTTTTTTTTTACAAATAAGGTCTACGTCCATTTTTTTTTTTTTTTTTTACAGAGTTTCAAGAGCGTTTTTCGTTTGTTGACTTTTTTGTATTCTTGTATATTCTTTGGAAGATCTTTCTCTAGTTTTTTGTTGGGAAGTTTTCTTCAGAGGATGGATTGGAGATCTTTGTTTTAAATTTAATTGGTGGGGAGGTTCCAGGCTGCATTGTTATTTTGTCATTAGTTTCATTCAATATCATTTCATTATTCTCAAACTTTATCTGATTTCATTTATAAATTTTGCCCAGACATTTGGTTCGAATTGAATTAATCTTTTCATCAGGTTATATTTCTGATGATTTCTTGCATATTACTTTTTGTTATTTTGGCCTGACTTTTCTTTCATATATCCCCTCCAAAATCTTAAACGCTTTTGGCATATTTTACTATCATTATTTCTTTCTCTTTTCTCCAAATCTTACTCTGGTATATGCTGGGTGTTCTTCTCCACAATTTGTATATTTATATATATTTCTGCATCTATTTGTGGTGTGATTTGGGTCCTTTTGCCCACACCGACCAAATACTGTTTTACCATAGCATTCATCAGTTGTAACAACAGAGAGGATTTGGGATGAAGGGTTCCACCTTTTTGACATTGTATGCTATTTTTATTTCTTTCGAGATAGTTGGTACATTAAATGTCAGGATGTAAGTGTTGGTGAGGATATTTTCATTATTCTTTTTAATTATCACTCTTCTGATATCTGTGACTCCCTGGTTTTCAATTCAATTCTTTATCTCCTTAATGGTACACGGGGAGAGTCACCTACTACATACCCCACCAAGAGGTATTCAGTTTTTTGTGACTGTATGCTTTTATTTTTTTTTTTTTTTATATGATATGCTGTCATTCTCAGTAATGTCTCTGTATGTCTTTCCTTTTCAACGTCTAAAAAATCTTTTTTTAGATTTTTAGGCTCTATTTTCAAAGATTTGATCTTTTCATTGTGAAAGGGAGATAATTCTGTAAGTGGGGTTTCAATAAGTAATTCCAAAATGATAAATCTTGGAAAGATTCGTTGTCAGAATCTGTATTCACATGAGGTCTCTTGGTGAGTTTGTTTTTATCCATAAAATAGATATATTACTTCATTGTCCCTCTTCCCCACCCACCACAGTGCCTAATTTAATTGGAAATACTAAAGGGGAACCCATTCGCCTTGGTAGTAAGAGAGGCCTACAGCAATGTTATACTTATATTTAGAGGCAGGCCATGAGTCCTTAATTCCCCTTAGGTTTCACTATCCAAGAACTAGTGAAATGTCTGGAGTATCTATAATGCATCATAGTTCTTTCCTTTTCAAACTGAATGACTCTACAGCCAACACCTTCTAATTCAAAGATTTTATATATTTACTTTTGAGGTACTTTGAAATGATGATCAAATTTTCTTCCTTCTTTTTTGGCTACTTTAAATTAGGGCTTTGATGCAACCAGACAATTGATCAGATTGGGCCTCTCCGACCACCCATCTAGTACAAGTTAGGGCCAAAGTGGTGTGTTTGAATTCAGAAGTATCTAACCAGACTCCTGAAACCCTTAACCACCAAGATCCCATCTCCAGGCATTACAGGTAGCCACCCACAACAAACAGGTGGCCTACTTGTGGGGTGTGTGTGGGTGGTGGTGGTGGTGGTGGTGATGTGGGGGGGGAAATTGTATCAAATAATTTCATTTTTGTTAAAATACAAAAAAAAAATGTTCTGACAAATTCATTCTCTTCAAAATTTTCAACTATTTCCGAAGAAAAGTTAGTATAAAGGGGTGGAAATTTAAATATATATATATATATATATCTGTCTATTTTTCATTTAAGATAAATAATTTTTATCATCCAATGTTTGTGAAAGTACCTCCTCCCTCCAGAAAAGAAAGAAGTTTCAAAAAATTAAAAAAAAATAAATTAAAACTATTATTTAAAAATATATGCAGTTATCATTGATGTAAGCAGAGTTTCAAACAAAAAAACAAAGATAACTGTCAGTGATCGATTTGACACTGTATTTATGATGCCCCATCCACTTCTAAACTGAAAGAAAAAAAAAAAAAAATCTATATTTTTAAATTCTAACAAATGTCATGGTTTGAGAAATGTCTCATGAATACTAATCCACAAAAAATTATTTCCCTCCAAAATTTTTTTTATAAGTGAACCAGATAATATAAATTGTGATATTGAATGATATGAGATGATGATGGCCAAGATTAACAAAAACAACTCCATTGATTTGTAATTAGGTACATGAAAGATGTTCTCCAAGCTAAAGTTCCAACATGGGTCTGTCTGCATTTTAGTGATGTGATTTAGAGCCAGTCTCCAACTTGAAAAAAATAAAGTGTCAGTTAAGACATTTTGCTTTGAAAGGTGATTGATCTTGACATTCATTTTTCTATCTAGTTTTGTGATGGACGGGTGGCTTTTGGATTGCCACTGGTATTCTTGTGAGAGCAAACACTACTATTGACTTAAATAAGACAAGCCATTATTTCATAAGTGATCACGCACTCTCTAAAGTTTATCGATCCAGTGCCCCTTTGTCATCAAGGAATATGTCATATCAAGATATAATGAAGAGCATCTTTGTTTTGCATCCCCTTAGAGGAAGACTAAATGCAGTCTTGGACATTGGATGGTGACTATCATTGTAAGTTTGAGTTCTGGCCCAGAATGTGAAAAGTTGAGGTTTTAGGGGAGGTGTAGATGATTTACTAGACTAACTCCTGCAGCAATGGCTTTGAAGAAACAATTGAGTATGCTTTTTACCATTAGTTGTTTGCTTTGCCTAAGTTATGTATTTCATTGGTGGTTTGAATCTATCATTTCCTGAACTATAATGTTGCATCCTTGTGGATTGAAAGAAATGAATATGGTATCCACCACTGATAATCATGGCACAAGAGGAGAGTTTCTCTTCAAAGAAATCACATGATTTAGTCTAGAATCATTTTAGACAACATTTTTATACACTCTTCCTAGCCACCTATTATTTTTTTCCTCTTGACAGAATTGTTTGTGCTTAAAACTTTTTTTTTGGTAAATCTTCCATAGTTATTTATTTTCTTCACTTTTTTTTTTTTTAGAACAAATCTCTACTTTCTGGTTATAAAAAAAAAAAAAGAAAATGGAACAGACAGATAAAATTATACCCCCCCCCACACACACAGAAAACAGTAGCTTTTCTAACCTGAAATGTGAAATACAAGTCACATATTACCCCCATCTAAAACTTGTGTATTTTTACTTTATTTGGGGGTTTCCCCTCTCTCCTCCATCACTGTCAATAAAATAGGTTTAAATAATTAATGGATTTTAATCCAGCATTATTTTTATTAGTATGTTATTATATTTAGTGGATACACATGTCTGAGAGGACATTCATTGTTAAAAAAAAAAAAAAAAAAAAAAGAAAAAAAAGAGAATGTTTATTCAAACATGTGTATCCACTGAAAATAATACGTGCACACACACACACACATGCTAAACATTCTCACTAACTCACCTATTTCCAATAAAGTGTTCTCGGCAAAAGAGACAACTTCTGGAAAATGTTTCATCTTCTCGCTCTTTTTGTTGAAAGGCAAGGATGGCTTCCTAAAAAAAACAAACAGATATTCTCTTGTATTTCTTGCAGTTGGACAAATTTCTGTCACCCAAGCGGTGCAGGGGGGTGGGGCTAGAATAAGGAAAATTTGAAAATAAAAGGCAAGCAAATTTCTCTGGCCAAAATATTAGCAGGTGGAATCATCAGTGGAATGAATAGAAAATTTGGGAGAAGGAATCTTGTAAAAGATAGCAAATGACAAAGATGACCAAAAAAGAAAAAAAATATTTGAAATGAAATTCAGAAATGCTAGTTTCATCCCCAAAATGAAACATGTCTACCACATTTAAACATTTGGTATCAGAAAATTTCAAACATTAATTCTGCAAGCAAAAATTCTCAGGAAATAAATGAATTTTTCAAAAACATTTTTGAATTTGAATGTCTCAAGTTCAATTAAGAATCTTTGCAGATATTTTTACCAGCACTTCAGTGCTGGTAAAAAACAAACATGAAATCAATATAAAACTTACAAGTTTCTCTCTCTGCAAATTTTGCCTCAAAAGTTTATCTTCAGGTAGCACATCAGACAACAAATAATATTCTTCTCGGAGACCTGAAAGAATCAGAACAATTCTTTAATCAATGAGCAAAAAGAATTCATCAGTGAACAAAAGTTTTTTAATGATGTCAAAGTCAATTTTTAAAGATTAAACACTGAAAAACAACAAAAATAGAAATTGACAATAATTCCAAATTTGTAAATATTTTCTAGTATTGAAACTTTGGTTATCTTTCATTTTGTGCAACTAAAATGCATCCAGAAAAGGAACAAAGAATAAAAAAACAAAAAAAAAAAAAAAAAAACCTTTTTATTCATAACCTTCATCCTTAGAACTTCAATTAGATTATAATAACTTTTCATCAGACAGTTAATGATTCTGCTGGTTAAAATAAATCTAAGAAATATTTAAACATGGCTGTTAGTGCCAACCTGAAAGTATAATATAGAGGAGTGCTGATAGTCCTAAGTTGTAGACCTACCACAAAGTTCATAGGGGGGTGAATATCTACTGATGTGCCTAGCCTGACGACCTACTTGAAACCATGACCTTTATAAGTACAAATCATGAGAATTTTGAAAGCAAACTTTGTGTGGAAAAAAAAAAAAAAAAAAAGTACACATTATGATGGAATATATTTTGTAAAATTTATTCTCCTGGTTGATACATTATTTTCTAAAAATTTAAAACTAAAATAAAGAGATTACATCCTTGACATTATTATCTTTTAGTTAGACATCTTACTTAAAAACACACACAAGGATAGCTCAATAAACCCGTTACCTTACAGTTATTAACCAATAAAAACCATAAAAATTAGATGGGAAAATGCTGAAAACAAAAATGAAGGGTCAAGAGATGTTCCAAAGAACATAAGAATTTTTTTTTTTTTTCAAAAAGTCTATTTTTCTCAAGAAACCAAAGAATTCTGTCAACGATTATTTTATAAAAATGCAATGTGACAATCTCTGACAATTGATTAATGATGGTCGTTAAAAGTGATGGTTAAGAAAACACAAAATAACCAGAATCAAAGATATTGTTCGAGAGTGCATAGATATTGTGTACACAGGTAATATAACCAAGGAAATGGCCAGACAAGAGGGCCATGTGTAAACTGTAAGAATTTTGGCAGGGCACGAAAGGATTTGTGTAAACAAAGTTCCAGTTGATAATTCTAAACTGCTCATGATCTGGGAACAGGATAAGAAATCCGGAATAAGCAGTGGTGTCAAAGAGTTAATTAATGAAGCAAGCTTAGCCACACCAGCATGACCAAGATGCCATTGGTTGTGTGGTAGCAGTGGTGATAGGCAGAGGGAAAATAGTAACAGAGAGAGAAGTTACTAATGCCCACCAGAAGGAATTGGTGTGAAGTACCAATGTGAGGAGGAGGGAGTTTAGGAGGATAGCTATCCTGCAACCTCTCCTCACGGATAAAGACTCATCTTGCATGACAGCCCCAGTGTCCGATTGATCTCGTCAATCTAAAATCAAAATCACAACATAGGTAGGTTAGACTTGAGATCAAGATAGTTACTTCGGTAATCAGTAATTGGAAGCAAGCTGAGGACGATAGAGCTGGTGTTGAACCAGTTGCATTCATGCTGTTAAAATCGACTGACCATCCCATTTGGTTCCCTGACCAAAGGTTCATGCTGTGTAGTGATGACCGCCAATTGACCGGGTCACATATTGGTGGCAGTGATTAAGAGTCAAACCCAGAACACCCCAGTAGGTATCAGAAAGTGCATTGGAAAGGAATTAGATAATATCGTAAAATAAGTAATTCTTATGATTAGACCAGTGGTTCTCAAACTTTTTGAAGTCAAAGAGCACTTGAAATCCTACCAATAATTGTAGGCACATACAAATTTCAGAAAATGTTATAATGAAGTCAAATATTGCAATAAGAAAAATATAAAATGAAACATACCTTAAGTTTATTCAGTCTTGTGTTTATGAGAAACATGAGCCTGATAAGTCTTAGCGATTTCTTCAATGTTTGGACATATTTGATAGGCAAACTTATTTCCTTGTCAATATATTGAAGAGTTCCTCTCTTTTTGCATTTAATTGTGGGGAGAGCAGAAAAGCATAATTCACATAAATATGAACAAGACGGGTACCACAATATAATAAATATATATATTTCTTATATCTGGACACATATTTCTCTGGAATGCCAGGGTTCACCTAGACATTTTCCAGGGTGCACCAGTGTGCCCAGGCACGCCATTTGAGAACCACTGGATTAGTAGCAAACCTACACATACATACGCACATTTTTTTTAACTGAATTTTTATGACTAAATATTTGGACCCACCATCTTTGTGGGTTATATAAAGAAGAGCCCCAAAAGGGGAGAACAAATACAAACACTCAAGAAGAGAATAAAGAAGCTACACCAAATTCGATCAATATTATTATGGACCTGGTTTAAAATCAAAGTTAAAAACATTGTCAAATCTTTATAAGACACTATGGTGAAATTACTACATTGATTGAAGGTGAAAGTTCAGTAAATTTTGAAAGGCAGAAATTCTGCCATATGGGATGTATTGTTGCCCAGGTACCAAGATTGAATAGCAGACTAAAGAGATAATTCTTCAAACGGAATATCAAGAAGAACCTGAATAAAAAGTGCTTGACTTGGGATTCACAAACACTTAGCTGCATATTTTCACTCGGTGGAAGAAACTGAGGAACACATGTTTCACTACAAGATCAAAAATCCATCATGAAAGTTTAGTGTTACAAAGTAGGGGTGGAGTGTGGTTGTGTGGTCAGTTTTTTTCTCTTCCACTTCTTAATTTGGGGGATCTGTGGTGATTGCCAGCTTATTTTAGAGATATTTTGTGGAAGATGTGGAGATTTATGAGACGGAAAAGGAAATTACAACTAACATTTTATTGTCTTAACAAATCTAATTAAGAAGGATATAAATAGAGGTAAATAAAGGTGAGACAACTGTATTCATACATAGTATGTAAAAATCATATGGAAGGTGTTGAGAGACTTACATTGGAGAAGAATTTCTTGTTGGTTTGTTAGAGTTATTTGCTTAGGGCATTTCTAGACTGCATTGTTTTCATGCAACACTAAAAAGTCTCCTGGAGGGGAAACAAGATACATTATGTCTTCCCTACATCATCCTGTAGGTAAAGAGAAAGCAAAATAAGAAGGTCTGGTTCTACTCTCTTCCAATTGACCAGTTCACATGACCCTCAGCCAATCAAAATCGTTCCCAATCATACAACTATCCATCTCTCTACTGTTTCACATTTAAAATCAACAGAAGTTTACAGCTGGTCCAAACTGCAAGTGGTTGACCCTTCAATTTTACCACCAAAGTCATTTTTTTTTTGTCTGAATTTCTGGGATGAGGAATTATCATTATTTATATTCAAACTATTGTCCTCATCTTTGTTGTCAATCTGGTTAACCTACAGGGTTCTGAATTGAACCCTTTATTTAATCTACAGAGGTACACAATTTTCATTCCATGAGGGATAGCATCTAGTTCTTATTTTTAGTACTGCTCAGTTATTGCTTGACCCAGGGATTGAACCACAATCACTATATCACCAAATTCCCAATCCAACATTTTAATCAATTAGGCTATTGTCCTGTAGGACAATTTGCTGTAGTGAACTTGAAGCCTTAAACCTAATCTGCCTGCTGATTAGTGATGCAACTGCTTTCAGTCATTTTTTGATTGCTGTTACTGCTATTGAAGACTTGTTGTCATTTGTGTTCCTTTATTAGCGGCTCCCATATTGTATTTATTTCTATGCTAGGCCTACTAAAGAGGTCCTCAGACTAGCATTTTCTTTTTAATTGGCTGGTTTGTTATATTGAAATTAGAGTGAAAATCAAAGGAAAAAAAAAAAAAAAAAAAAAAAAAAAGAAGCTTTTTAATGGAATTTGGCAAAAAAATCTTACTGAATGTTGTGTGTTTGTGCAGTAGAAAAGAAGATTTTAACTAGTGACATTTTCAACTTTCAACTGGCATTTAAGAACTTTACGAAGTAGAAAGAAACTCTCGGCTAAGATTAAAATAAAAATATGTAAACATAATAATAAAAAATATTGTTGAACAAAGGGAAGGAATGGTCATCACTTCAGTTTTTCTTTGTTCTCTTCCTTTTATTTATTTACATTTTCTCGCCTCCATGAACAAACTCTTACAATTATGTCAATGGAATAATGTAGGTCTCCACTTTTTCACTGAAAAAACAGTATAGCATGATGAAAAAGGTCCCATATATTTAATAAAAACAAAGTTTTATCATCAAAATGCTTATGTTATTATTAAGAGGAATGGCCAAAGTATTTTTAATTATTTTAAAATTTTGGTTAAAAATCTTTTTTTATCAATGGTATAACAAAGCTATGAAAATTTTAGCACCTTTTTTCCAGTTAAATAACACATTAATTTGGAAATTCTTGCAAAAATTAAATAATTGTTAAATCTTAATGAAACTTTCAGGACTTATTCATAAATGAATTAAATTATTTTTGAAATTATTATCTAGAAAACCTTAGTAATTTTTTTTTTACATCTGTTACCACCAACCACCACTTAATTTCATTAAATTTTGATTGCAAATTTTGTTTTATTAGTTAAAAGCAGGACTAATTGGAGAATTTTTTTTTTAAACAGTTACTCTTTTTACTGAAAATCTGCTCTAAAAAGTAAAATAAAAAAATTAAATAAAACTATGACATTATTTAATTAGATAAGTTTTTAAATGTTTTTATACATAATAATATATATTAAGGACATTATAGTCTTAAGAAAAAAAATTTTTTACAATAAATAATGAATTTTTTACAAGAATTGTTTTTTTTTTTTTTTAATTATAATAATTTATAAAAGTCTCAAATATCTTTAAAAATTCAAAATTTTGATCATGTTAGGTTATTAAATTATTAAGTGAAGACTATATTTACTAATCAAAAATAGTTTTAATTTTTTTTTTATTTGTATAAACATGCACATTTTATAGGTGAATATACACATTATCTGAAAATAAGATCAAGGACTTTAGTAAATTTAAAGTCAACATTCCTAAAATTAGATTACAGAGAATATTTTCCAGCATTTATTTTTAAGATTACTGAGTACTTAAAAATTATATAAAAAGGCCTTCTGTCATTTTCTTAAAGTATGTTTTAACAGTTAAAACATAAAACAACAATAAACCTGTCAATACCTCATCAGTGTTTGTTATTGCTCATCAATCATCTAATAAGTATGTAATCACTGCTACTGTTTTTTTAAAAATTCATTCGTATTATTTTAAACTTAAAGTGAATAATATTTGTTACAAATCAGATTAATTATACTTTAAATCAACTAATATTCCTCAAATAAAGTTTCAGAAAAGCATATTTTATTTTGGTAAGATTTTTTTTTTTTTTTAATAAAGAGAACTACAGTGTGATGAAAGAGGACTAAAAAAAAAAAAAAAAAATAGAAGTGAATCAATTCCGATTAATATAATTTTTGCTTGAAAAACACTACAGAGTATTTTGCTCACTGGAAATACTAAATTTAATCTTTTAGTTTTCAATTAAAGCTAAAATAAAAGCTTCAAGAAAGCTTTTTAATTTTTAAAATTCATTTTAAAATTTAGATATGACTGATTAGTGGCGGTACCTAGAATAATGCTATAGGACTGGATTGGTAAGCATTGTCATCACTTACTGATAGGCCAATGAAAATAGTTATGTTACTGGACTTACAATTAGGTCAAATGGAATAATGTCAAGCTTGGGAAGCAATGGTAACCCACAATTTCCCATTCTCCAAATATTCATTTTGGGCTTTATCTTGAAAGAGAAAAGAAGAAAAGAAAGAGAAAAGAAAAAAAAGAAAGAGAAAAGAAAAAAAAGAAAGAGAAAAGAAAAAAAAGAAAGAGAAAAGAAAAAAAAGAAAGAGAAAAGAAGAAAAGAAAGAGAAAAGAAGAAAAGAAAGAGAAAAGAAAGAGAAAAGAAGAAAAGAAAGAGAAAAGAAAGAGAAAAGAAGAAAAGAAAGAGAAAAGAAAGAGAAAAGAAGAAAAGAAAGAGAAAAGAAGAAAAAGAGAAAAGAAGAAAAGAAAGAGAAAAGAAGAAAAGAAAGAGAGAGAGAGAAGAGAAAAAAAAGAAGTTGACACTGTACACTTGAAGGCAGCCAAAGAATTGTTCAACTTAGGCTTAAAATGCCACAGTAAACTTTTTGTGGCATTTGTTATTGGGATAATTCTCTAAATTTCCCTAAATCCAGAATAACTTGGTGGGGGGGGGGGTTTAGTTAATATTAATTTTTGTTCTCTGAACTAATATTTTTTACTTTTATACTTAAGAAAAGCACCAAAAATATGTTCACCTTTACTGAAAGACAATTAAGACTTTATATCTTAGAATCTTTTTAAAAATTAGTCTTGTTTGTTTTCACAAAATTATCAAAGAAGAAATTTATATTTGTACACAAAAGAAATGTGATTGTTTTTCTGAAAAGTACTTTATTGAATCTCTTAGTTGGTATGTTAAGTTTTATAACAAAATTTCAAGTTGACAATTTTCTTTCTTGTAATCTTGGAAATAAGAAAAAGGTTTGTATTTTTCTAGTTAAATTGTTAATTGGCAATACATTTATTACCTCCCCTTCATCACAGCAAAAAAGTGTTGAAATTGAAACGGAATTAATCGAAGAAAAAAAATAAAAAGGCAATTCAGAATCAGTTTGGTTTCAGTCTTAACATTTTTGATTGAGGCTAACTTGTTAACAAATAAATTTATTCATCTTGAGTGTATGACAACTTCTGGTGTATGCAATGTTGGTTAGCTGAACACTGATTTGCCAACAAAATTTCAGAGTTACTATGAATATTTAATGCTTGTCTCAAGCACAAATTTCTTCAAAGTGATGGAGTTTATTGGCCAAGTCCTGTTTCCATGACTACGAAGAGAAAGCAGTTGACCAGCTCAAGATCAATGAGCCACTTTAAACAGTGTTGAAATAATTTTAATATGTAAACAAAACTGAAAAGCATAAAGATTAACATATTGAAGGATATACAAGACGTGACAGTTCCTTGGAATGACCATGGCTTGTTCCAGAAATGTCCTTGAGCATGTTCAGATGTAGATTGTTTGGATAGGCATTGCTAAACAAAACATTTGCATCCACAGAAAAAAAAGGCAGGCATCAGGAGATAACGCACAAAAGAAATGCACGAATGCCACAAGCATTCATAAATCCCTAATCTGTGCTGGGCATTGACTTAATCCATACAGTTTCAAGAACTCATTTTCCAATAAGTAAAAATCACAAAGCAAAGCCTGGATGATATCTTCCCTTTATTAGTCATCATTTCTAGAATTTGTACCTGTCATTCAACCGCTTTTTAGCAAGTATTAAACTCAATGTGCTTTTTGACAATGCAATGTCACACAATATAAAAGAGGAAACAATTAGAATCCCCAAATGAGGCTATCAACTGTTTGTCCCTCACCACACACACAATGAACATTATTTCATTGCTAGAGCAGTTCAAACAGGGAATCAATAATCAAGAAATATTATCACTGTAATATGTTTAGCATTCACCATCTCAATGAATTTTATTTACATCAACATCTTCAGTGAACTTAGTGCACAGATATAAAATTTATTTCATGTAATTATGCCACGAGTCCTTGAATCTTCAACTATTTTCGTTAAATGACATAACATGTAAAATATCATAAACGCTTAAGCAATGAGCTTAATTACAATGAGCTTAATTGCCTAAGCAATGAGCTGTACTTTGACCCATTTTATCAGTTGAATAAAAGCAAACACTTAAAACCTGTATTCAGTATGACCCCCCCCCTTTTTAGGATTGAATCAATTATCTGTACAAAATACTACTTTGCCTGTCTCATTTGGATAACAAATATTCCACCATATTCATTTTGTGTGTGTGTCAAGAGCAAGATAGGCCAAACAAACCTTTCACATGTAAATTAATTCTTAATCCTCAATTTTAATTGGTCATCACAAAAATTTTATCTTACAAAAAAACATTTCCTGACATGAGACTACAAAATGGCACAAGAGTTTGTCTGCTTTGAAACTCGACAATTGAATTTCAGACTTGGGCTCAGTTATTAAGCATTTTAACTTCTAAGTTTTGGAAGGACTAAGTTTGGGGTTGTGTGTTTGGCTGAAAACCCTTTCTTATAATTAACAGGGGAAAAAAAGAAAAGATAAATGAATATTGATAATTTTTCAAACCAAAAAGGAAAATCCCTTGATTTGTCAGGAGAATTAAAGTAGAAATAATGAAATGAGTTGCAGAAAAACACAAAAAGATGATAAAAATATAGAAATCATGTATGAAGATTACAGGATTTTTAAGATACATATATATATATATATATATATATATATATATATATATATATATATATATATATATATATATAAATAAATACACACACTTACCGATATCGGTCTCTTTGCTGTTAATCTGAATAGCACTACAAAAGTCAGTAATCACATGATCAACCATCCGTTCTTTCCAGTAGGCCAAATATCTAATATTAACAAAAATATAAAAAGGATATCTGAATTAGTAAGTACATTAATAAATCTGTATTTTAATGATGGAGTGGGGGTGAAAGGAAGATTTATATTACATAACAAATATTTCTTTTTCAACATAATCCCATTTCTTATCAATTCAATGCACTGTATCCGCCACTTCTTCAGAGTGAATTTTGATCTGATATTTTCACTGTACAGTGAAAATATCAGATCAAAATTCTAATAACTGTATCAGCCTATACATTTATTGACCCATACATACTAAATAAAAATTAGGGAACTTTATAGAATTTAAGACATTTTAAACATCTGATGAATTTTGAATAAAATTCTATTAAAAAAAAAAAAATTTATTGTTGTTCTTAGAATCTTTTTTTGAAATATTAAACAGCTATTTTTGCCATATTTCAATTTTTTTTTTGATAAAGACAAATTATAAAATAAGCAGAAATAGAAACTTACTTTTGTAAATTGGCAATTAGCTTTACATCAGCAAGGACCAATTTGTGAGACAGAATCATGTGACGAAGGAGTGTATCTTTGTCTTCTGCCAAGTTTAATTGGAAATCACAGAAAATGCAGACACCAAATGATACTGGTTCTTCACCTGGAACAACATTCCCTTCAGTGGAACTGGCTTCCGCCTTTTTTGTTGATGTGGATTCAGAAAAACATAATGTCTCAAGGACTGGCAAATCACAGCTTCCTGAAAAAAAAACAAAAAAAAAAACAAAAACACACACACTGGGTTAAGCATGATGCATTTGCATTTATAAAACTTAGTAACTCAATTCATTTTATTTGGACTAATATCCTCATTTTTTTTGTTGTTATAACAACATTTTGACCATTGTGCCCTCCAGCCTTCTTTGGGTGTCAGTCAATCTGGGTAATCTTCATAGAATTTCAATATCCTTTATTTAATCAACCTGGGTATAGTGTCCAGGTCTAGGGACACCCTATCTTGATAGTATTTAGTATTCTTCAGTTGTTGCTTGTCTTGTTTCCAAGTCTGTACCGTCCAATCCAGGAACTGAACTCACAATTACTATATCACAAAATTCATCTTGAAAATCTTGTGGGCTACACCAGAGCAATAATATTGATGGAGGAGTGAGTGTATTTTATAAGTCGCAAAGAAGAAATATCTGTGGGTTTATATGTTGACAAAATTCATAATCAGAACCATTTTTGTTGATATTGTTTACAGATAAGTCAACATTTTAGAAGAGGAAATGTAATGTTTCTTCTTGTGGATAATAAATATTCAATTAAGAAAAAAAATAGCAGTTGGTTTTGTTGATATTCTGACATGAATTGACAACATTGAGATCTGTATCTCTTACAAGCCAAATTGCTATGTTCCTGGAACACCTAAAATTAATCCCATTACAACTGCTTAGAAATAACAAAATTATTAGTTGCCACCAACATGTATTCCAATCTGGGTATAGTGGCATATCACAACTGTTGTCTTGTCTAAATGAATGGACTGAATGTTATGATAGCTTCATACAAACAGATGTCATTTATATGGACTTCACTAAAGCAGTTGATTCAGTTCCCCACCAATGGCTTCTCTATAAATTGAAACAAGATGAAATTAAGGGCAAGATATGGAATTGGATCAAATCATTTCTCTCAAACTGAGGGTAGAGAGTTGTACTCCAGAATGGGAGCTCATCATGGACTAATGTCATTAGCCATAACCATACTTGGACCCATCATATTCCTAATATTTGTTAATAACATATCTGTTATTGTAACATCTACAGTTAAACTGTTTGCTGATGATACTAAGCTCTAATGCAGGATAAGGCACCTTCAAAATTGTGCTTTACTTCAGGAAAACAAATTCATTAGCTGTCTTCAGTAACAAGTGGATGTTAAAATTTAGTGCTGGGAAATGCATGGTTTCAAAAATTGGTGGCAAACTGGACTACAAATACCAATTTCAGATGATCTATTTTCAAGGAAGCACATTATTGATATTGTGAAGAAAGTCAACCAAAGAGTTGGCATCATTAAACATTGTTTTACTGGGCTTACCCTCAAAATGGTGAAAACTTTGTATCTATGGTAGAGTCAATCTTGAAATATGGGTCGCCCTGCTAAAGTCTATACTACAAGAAAGGTATTGACTTACTGGAAAGTGTACAGAAATGTTGGTTGCCTCTACTTTAGCCCCTGGTCAGAATGGTAATGACTTGGTTGAGGTTTATAAATAATTGAAAAATTTTTATAAATGTGGATATTATCAATAGTTCGCCTATGCCTTAAAAAAGCGGAGTGGCTATACTGCTCAAAACTATATCAACCTTACTCAGATCAAATTTCTTTGTTGTTTGTGTGGTGTCAAAAATGGAATTCATTGCCTGGAAACTTGGTTCAAACAAGATCTCTGTTGTTGTTCAAGGATGGATTGAAAACTTTGGCATCAACTTCAATCACAGTGAAAAGATTTGTTTGGAAAGAGTGCTTTAAGAGTTCTGTTTTAAAGAAATCTTGTAGGTTTTACAAATGAAGCAGGGTATTATACACACAAAAATAAATCAGTCACTTAAGTTAAATATAAATTTTTTAAATTGTTTAATTTTTATAATTTTGTTAACACAATACCGTTATGTTCACTTTACCAGAGCAATTTTTTAGTTTTTATTAACGCCTTTCTTTTTGATGGAAATAAAACTAGGAAAAAAGACAATCAAAAAGCAATATTTTGGTAATGAATATTGGTTACAACGTAAAAAATAGTTAATCAAGTTTATGATTTGAAACGGTTTTAACATCGGTTTTTTGTTTTTTTTTACTTTTTTTTTTTTTTTGTATGTCTACTCTTTTGAACAAAACCATGGAAGTATTTAAAAAGATGTTGATTTTCCGTTTTTAATTTTAATCACGAACAAATCGGTTATTAATTCCATAATCAGGGTTTCATGCATTCAAAAGATTCTGGCTGAAAAGAAATCAAGCTTTTAGTGAAAAACAGTATTGCATGCGTGTGGGAGAACAAGAATGAATTGTAATTTAGTGTAGATTTTTTTTATATTGACGAACGGCTTTACTGCTTACTAAACATTAAACAACAAGTGTTAATTAAAAAAAATATCAGAAACAAAAAAGTAATAATTGGTAAACAATTTAAAAAGGTACAATTTTAGTTTTTTTTTAAATAAACTAACCGCACGTATTGCTAAAGAAATAAAAGTTTTACGTGTTAAATTATGCAAGGAATAAAAAGATAAAGATTATTTATGTCTTTTAAATGGAAATAATAAATATTAGTTTAAAATATAAACTATAAAAACGAAAACAGACTCAATAAAAACATGTTAACAAACCTTCGTTATTGGCAGCCATGACACAAATCAACAAATATTGAATTATCTCCCTTTAAATATTTGAAGCCAAGGGAATTAAATGGTGAGGATTCAGTTTCAATTCTAATCTAAAGTACTCAACTTTATTTTACTTTCGTTAAAAAAAATCTTACTTTTTATTTCCTTTCAAATTTATATACATAATGCTAATTGGCAAAAGAATCTTAGGATCCTGAAATTTATAATGTAAAACTTATAGCTATATTAACATCTGACAATGTCACAATAAAGTAAAAACCCTAATTATTATTTAAAAAAAATGATCCTGAGGTTGAAATTTCATTATTTTCAATACTTTGCTGTCATCGAAGCATAAAAGAATCGCCTGCCAGATTCCTAAAAAAAAAACTCCTTCGTGAAAACGAGATTTTTTTAACTGCTTTTATTTCTTTTTCCTTTTATTTTTATTTATTTTCTTTTGCTCTTGGGGGTGTATAAACATCACAATAGGTTTGTTTTAAAATAAAAAAAAACTAAAAGTTATTTTTTATTTTTAGTATTAAACATGTCTGTTAGAGTGTTTTGGGTTTTTTAGTTATGTCACGGGAGTCGCAAGTTAGATTCGCACATTACAATTAGTTCACTTCACGAGTTTGGGTAAAAAAAATAAATGTTGTGAGAGTGCCCCATCCCACAGGCGCCCCCACTACTTGCCGACGGGTAAATAACTTTTTGTTTTTTGTTCCATGCAGTCTTGCTTTTTTATTTTACAAATTTTATTTAATTTATTTAGTAATTTCAATACATTTTTGGCCAGAACTTAAAAACAAATAAAAAAACAAAAACATTATCAGACATTTTTTTTTACCCAATTGGATTTTGTTCCAAATAGTGATAACGAAAAAGTGTACTGTAATACTACATTTCTTCCCCAAATTGTAAATTTAATTTTAAAATGTAACATTTTGGTAATAAAGTTTTACTTAACTTTTCAGTTAAAAATTCGAAAAAAACCCTCTTTCAACAGCATATTCCATTCACTCACTTTCCCTATCTCTCTCTTTTTCTCACTCTCACACACACACACACACACACACACACACTGTTATGCAACTTTCATTTTTCGCATGACATGTCGTAAGATTTGAGGAAGTCATGTGACAACTGTTTTTAGTTCACAAAATTTTCCACATCGTCATAACAATGGTAATTTCCCATGGGTTTTCTACTGAGTCATATGAACATGTCCAACATGCTTTTTTTTTTTAGCTCATTAGTGTTTTTTCAGGTAAATAAAAAAAAGAAAAGAAAGTTCAAAAGAATTTAAATTCATTTCTCTTCAAATACTGTAAACGGGAAATATTTTCACAAAAAAAAACATCTAAAATTCTTTTTAAAAAAATGCAGCTTAAATACTTATAAACATACAGCTAATCTTCTCAAAATAAAAAAAAAACATTCAAATACAAAAGAATAAAAGAATGATTATAACACTGAAAAAAAAGAAACAGAAAATTATCAAAATTTTTAATTTTATCAAATTCTAGGAATAAAAGAACAGGTAACGTTTGATAAGAAAAGAACAATTAACATTCTTACAATGAAAAATAAAACTGTCAAACAAATGAGCAGCTAATTCCAGGCACTGCTGAACTTCTGGAATGGCAAAACATTGATGATAAACTGAAAACTGCTGTTGGTGACTTTTATGAAAGTATCCATGTTAGTGGAAGACGATTGAAAATAATGATGAACAAATACAATATTATTCCAACCAAATACTTTTATTTCACTCTAATATAATTTTTATTTACACTATTTACATTGCTCATCTTTATTGTCATATTCATAATGTTTCGGCTGTTGTATCACCTTCTTCAGGTGATATATGTTGGAATTTTGAACCAAAGCCTTTATTTAGTCTACGGGGTTGGATTGTTCCAATTCCACATGCCATGCCTTTTCTGGATATCTCAATTTCAGTTAATTCCATTTAGTAACTCAACTCTTCAAGTTTTTGTTCATTGAGTTATTGAACTCATAACTCTTTTGGGTCAAGTCACTGAATTTTTGTTATTGTCGTTTTTTTTTTTTCTAGCTCTCTATATTCTTCTTCTTCTTTATCATCATCATCATCATCATCATCATCATCATCATCATCATCATCTTCTTTCGACCTCTGTATAGTTGGTTGGAACTGCATTGACAATCCTTTTCCACACTGTTCTGTTCTGTTTTTGTTGTCCCCAGATCCACAATGTCCAACCCTGAGTCTCGAGTTATGGTGTCTGGGGAAGTCAATTTTTGTGAGAAGACACATCCAGAAGGATACCATAGGAGTAAAGATGAGAGATGATTTCCCCGTCTGCTTGATGCCAGTGGCCGGCAAACTGTAATCATTTTTGTTTGTGCTTTTGTTATAGTGAAACACACCTATTCTATAGTTAATAGACTCTCCCACCTATAATAAGTAGGAGTAGTAATAGTAACAAGGAGTCGCTCAGTCATTCGATGTCGGACGACAGTTAGTCGAATACTAAACTATCAGCGACCACAACTAGATTACTCTGCATTATACTTATTATATCAAGTTCCTAACTATTTTAGGACCGACTTAGTACAAATACAAGCCTCCACTGTGAAATCACTCCATGACAGCTTTAGAGAGATTGGTCTCAGTTCTCCATAAATTGTGTTATTGCATGGGATCTCCAACTGATGTTATGGATTTTTCTTAGTAGATTTGTATACATTCCATCCAGTCATCTTCCAAGATGAACAGATAATGTCCAAGTTTCTGATCTATAAAGTAGGACTGGTTCAATCAATGTTTGAAAGAATGATGGAAGGTTTGTGCACCAAATCTTGTAAAGTTTGTTACACACATCTCATGCAAGAATTTTGTGGATGTTGAAGTCTTTTTTGGGTATCTATTATGTGAGATCCAAGATATTTGAAGTCCTCAACTCTTTTTATGGACGTATCATTGAGTGACTTCAATTTGGATGGTTCAGGGAAGTTAGTGATATATTCTGTCTTACTATCATTGCAATAGAGACCTACCTGGTTTGCTGCTTGCTCAAATGATTGCAGAAAGGATTCTGCATCCTTGATACATTGAAAAATTAATGCAAGATCATTGGCAAAGTCAAGGTCAGTCTTTATATTAATGGTTCCTGTATTGTATTCATGTCTATGCTTGGCTGGCTTAGGAGATTATTATGGCCTAGTATATGCACTGATTCCTTAAGTTTTTGTATTTTCCAGTTATCTTATCTCACTATTACTTCAACTTCATCTCACAGAGGGCAATGATCTCCTTTTTCCCTCCAATCTATATTACCTGAAGAAGGCTGGAGTGTACAACAACTGAAATGTTGTGAATATGACAATAAAAATGAGGACAACAGTCCAAACAGTGTAAATAGTGTAAATAGTTGCAATATAGACAGATAATTTTTGTTGTATTTTAAATTCAATTTTGATATTAAAACAGAACAATAAATAAATGAACCTACTGTAACAGCTGGCATTTTTTCTATTTTATTTTAATCATTTCACCCCAAGTAAGTCAATAATGCCGCTAAGATGCAAGGGGTTACTGAAAGTGAAAGAAAATGAGAAAACATTAGCAACAAAATAGGACAATAAAAGAACAGGGTTCAGAAAGACAGAAGATGGCAATTGATGTTTCATTTAAATTTTTGAAGAGCATAGGTAACAGGGAAACCAAAAACTGGAACAGTGTCCACAGGGGAGAAGTGCAAGAAAAGAAACTATTAGAATAGAATAGTAAGACTGCTAATCGAGTAGTATGCTTAAATTCATTGAGGTTGCCATGCTTGGGAGTGCCATACAAGGTGCACTTTTCATTACTGGTGAGCACTCAATCAAATATGGATATGTTGCAGTCCCAAGAAAGCAACGAGAAACAAACTGTCATTCATTATTTCTAGTTGGTTTCAAACAAAAAAGCATATTCTGATATTAAGTCTGACTGTTTCACTTCAGAAACCTGGAAGCATTCAGCAAGATCACCACAGGTTTGGCTGTTGTCTTCTTCTATGGCTGCCTTCAGGGCCTGTGACTGGCCACTATGAGGTTTGTTGTAAAGGGACAGATCTTCTAACCTGAATTTCTGAATCCAGTAAGTTCACTCACAGCCTTATCCTCAAAGGCTTGACATATTCAGTGACTTGATACAGCTGCGGACAGGCCCACCTTAAAGTCATAAAGTAGACAACCCCAAATGAGCTGCTTGGACACTTCCATGTTTCCTCATAGTTGCTCAAGCTATGACTGATGTCTGTGTGTGTGTGCGCAACACAGCTGTATTGGTCAAGAGCAATACCTCCACCATACTCCTACTACTTTCCTGGCAGATGATGCTCTCATTTGCATATCAGAAATACATATTGCAGAAGTAAGAGCAGATTGCCAAAATATCAAGAATGCCAAGAAATACCGCAACATAAATGTAAAACTTAAATTAGTGGCATCCTTTAACACGTACTCTTCAATAGTTGTCTATTTGTTTGCAGTATCATATAATTTGGGATTATAAGGATTTTTTTCTTACTAAATTGTTTTATTAATGATATTTGTGTTCTGAATAATTATCATTTGTGTATTTCCTCTTTTAACTTTTATTGCAATAAAAGATTTTGCATTTCAAATAATTATCATTTAGCATAATTGTCCTTTTGATTAATTTTCATTCAAACAGTTTACAATTTGAATAAATATTTTGCGAATAATTGTTTTTGAATAATTGTTTTCTAACAATTATTTTCAAACAATGTTCACATAATCCTGTACAAGGCTTAAGAGTAGAAGGTTACAGTTTATTCTTGATAAACATCAAGTAACAATGTTCACCAGGCTAGGACTGTGACAAAATCCCGGATTTGTTCAAATCCCAATGAAGGTGGTTGCATTCTATTTGCATTAATGCTTCAGGGAAAGGCATGAACCTATTATTTCTTCTCTGAGTTATAGGGAAATAGCAAGGTAGACTGAGGTTTTGACTTGGCAATCCGT